CTATAGCTGCAGGGTCACTGGCTGTGGTAGAGTGGATAAATCCTTGTTCCTCACAAACATTTTAGGTTTTGGGTTGCGAAAGGCTGCTGCAGTACCTTTTTGGTGAGAGCGAGGGGAGATACGGAGAAGAGAGCTAGTGCACTGTCCAGCTACTTGTGCAGAGCCGCAAGGCAAAGAAGTGAAACCAAAGTCTTGGAGATGTGCAGCAAGCTTTTCTGAACGCTCACCAGCTGTGGAAGTGCCCTGCTGCCAATGTCAGGCATGTTCAGGCCCAGTACTGCAGTTTTCTTCTGGGAAGAAAGAAGAGAAAAATGCAAGGAGCTTGCATTCAGCCCTCACTGTAAGCAAAACTCAGTGCCACAGTGAGTAAGGCCTGAAACAAACTCTCTCTTAAAAATAGGAATGACCAGAAAGAAAATCCCCCATTTGCCAGAGGTAGACAGGTAGGACACGCAAAGGCGTGTGCATGAGAAATCCTTTAGGTAATGAAGCAGGACTCTTGAAATACTTTGCTCAAATCCTGAAGCTGACATCGCTCCTCTGTTTCATGCAAGATTCAGTCTTGTGCAAGCTGGTTTCTTTTCTGGTTTATCTGTCAGCTTGAAAATTGGGTGGATGGTTCATGGACAGATTTGTCTGTGGTATTGCTTTTGCACTCGCACAGTCTTAGATGTCACTGAGGCTTGAGTGATCTTGCATCTATGAAGGTATGTGAGAAAATGAAAGAGCATGCATGACTATTATATCAGACAGAGTTGGATCTGGACCTTCTCTGGTGTGAATCAGAGAAGTAAATCAAAATGGCAGCTCCTGTCGTGTTAAAAAACTACACCTTAATGAAAACCTGTCTTTGAGAAGCAGAAATATCTGGAGAAGCATGTTAAGAGAGAGGTGTTGAGGGAGCCAAGGTGCTAAGGAGTGAGCTTCTGGGAATGCTTTGCATGTGAAAACACTTCATGAATTGGTTATGAATGCAGCTGTCCTCTCTTCCACCTGCCAGGAGCCTTCCTCACCCCAAACAAAGTTGGTGCTGCTCCCCAGCCCGTTTCAAACAGGAGGTGGTATTGATGAGCAGTAAACAGCATGTTTACTTGCAATGTTGTTTTCAGATAGAGAGCACTAGTTGTGAAGGTGCAGAAGGAAACACAGGAACAGCTGTTTGTGTTACACTGCAAACAGGAGGCCATCAACAAAGAAGCGCAGGTTTCAAAACCACCTCTGCTCAGCCCCGGGTGGGAGGTTTTGTTTCTGTATCGGCTTGGAATCCATAGTTTGTCTTGTGATTGCTGTGTTATAAATTAATATTTAGCAGCCACTGGTTGATTGATTGAGTTTTTTTGGTGGCAGTTCTTGGAATTACTGGTTCTTTGAACAAATCTTAAAATGGGCCCTCATAAAAATGTAACAATATCAAATTGTAGTGAAGTTATTTCGCCTTGCACTTGAGTCTTGCCAAGAGATGTCAAAAATGTGCACGCACATTACTTAAATGTTGCTGGGGTTTTCCCGCAAACTGAAATTGCCTGCAGAGTCCTGAGACAGACAGGAGAAGTTGGTATTTCAAAAGATGATGATTTTTAATGGAGTCTGTGTCAGGGCCACGTGAACATGACTTTGAGAATAACACCTGGCCAGCAAATGCCCTGAGCCTGGTTTACAGCTTCGTCAGCAGGCGCTAGACCTGCCTTGTGCCTCTTGTGGAGGGGCTAAGCGGGAGACATAAAGGGAGAAAACAGCATTTTGTCATGTCATACTTTGCAAGGGCCCTGAAAGCTGTGGTAGTGTAATGAATGTAAGGGAGAAGAGCTGGTGGCAGTGATGCTCTGTCCTCCGAAAGCCTGAGCGTGCAGGCTGGCAACAGCACTGCCTGGCCCCAGCAGCACAAGCCTGAGCACATGCAGCCTTGCTCCCTCTTTACGGCATCCTTCCATCTCTCCTCCGCCACCTCTAGCTGACCAGACCCAGAAGGCCACTGCCCTCGGCACCTCTCCACGCTCCACCGCATCCCTCCATGGCTGTGCTGCCGCTTGCCGGCATGCCATCCACCGAGCCGGAGTGGAGGGGAGTAGCTGATGCACGACGTAACTCCTCCCAGCGCTGGAAGGCAATCATGTGATTTTTATGACTGCTCTCTAGAATTGTGTTTGCTCTGCTCCCAGCCACCATTGCTTCCTCCTGAGCGTCCTTCCTTCCCTGGCAGGGCTGCAGCTCCTGCAGGCAGTGCCGGGAGCCAGGTTTTGGCAAGCAATGACAGAAGTGAAGAGAGAGGTGTTCGGGCAGATGCCCCGGGCGGAAGGAGGAGGAGTGGTGGAAAAGTTCGTCTTAAAGTCAGACAGCGTGAAAGTGGAGATCCTGTCCTTAGGGTGCATAATCGCCGCTCTGGAGACAAAAGGCAGGGATGGGGAGTTTTCAGATGTTGTCCTAGGCTTTGACACTTTGGAAGGTGGGTCTAAATCTGTTTCTTTAAAAAAAAAAAATTAAAAAAAAGAATCAGGCAATTTAACCAGTGTTTTCTGGTTTATTGCCACACTGCATGATCTGCTTCTAAGGGTCCCTTCCAAATCGTGGGCTGAGTAAATACAACTCCTGCTGCCTGTCCTGGGCTCAGTGGTGGATGGGGAACAGGGACACTAGTGGCTCCAGGTTGTAGTGTGCCCCTCTAACGGGGCGGCTCTGTGTCATTCTTTGACCGGCAGTGACAGAGGCCTTTTCTGCAAATCTGCAAAGAATACAAGATCCCATCAGGCTGTTCTAATCGAAGATGTGCATGACTAGTGAGCTGTGTGTCCTGTGAAACACCAGGACTGCAGTCACCTATTTAGTACTGGGGGGAAGCAGACACCTCTGAGTCCGTAAGCACACCTGGAGACCACCCATCCTGTCCCAATCCTTCCGTTTAACTGTGCTTTTTTTCCGGCCAGGTTACATGAGGGAGCACCCCTACTTCGGCGCCACTGTGGGGCGTGTGGCCAACAGGATTGCGAAGGGGAGGTTCACTGTGGACGGGAAGGAGTATCAGCTGTTCCTCAACAATGGGCCCAACAGCCTGCATGGAGGAGCCAGGGGATTTGACAAGGTGAAAATCAGGCTGGCAGGTCCCGCTGTCCTGTGGCACACAGCCTGTGGGGTTGTGGCAAGAGGATGTGATGACTTGACTCCTGACCCTGTAGCATTTTCTGGTGGTTATTGTGTTGAATCAGCTCCCAGAAAGTGCTGTGAGTGCAGGAACGGGGGGCAGTGAGACCCTGTGAGGTGCTGGGTCAGCTTGTCTTTGCCCGGGTGGCTTAGCAGGCTCACTTATGTCATCCTGGGATGCCATGCAGAGGGTTGCTGTGCTTCCTCTGCATTACTGCAGCCCTGAGGCCTCGTGAGCCCAGTTCTGACAGGGTTGTCCTGGAGCGAGGTGCTGCTCCCGCAGAGCCTGGGTTAGGACACAGCGGTGAGGACCCATCCTCACCACCCCAGAGTGGGTGCTGTAGTTGTCCCAGTGCCCAAAGAAAGTTTCCTGGGGAACAGTGATCCATGCAGACTCATTTGCGCATGTGGTTTCAAGGCTGTTACCTGCCCATATCTCCTCCCAGAGTCAGAAGGTTTGCAGAAACTGAGTATCATCGCTGCTTGCTTTTGACAGCACTCCCAAGTACGGGGAGAGCAGGGGTTCAGTGTGGTTATTGCATTAACCCCTTCGGTGCTGCTTTCATCCCAGTGACGACATACCCTGGGCTCGTGCTCTGACTCACAGCAGTGGGTGACTAGATCATACCTGCAAAATGCCCCAGCATCGCTGTGTCCCCTCTCCAGCCCTTCCCTGTGACCTCCCGAGATAAAATAACCTTTCCCTGGCCCCAGGGCACTCAACCCTTCCTATGTTCTCCCAAGAGCTGCTGCTGAAGTCCAGATACCATCCGTGCGCTACAAGTGGTAAGAGCAGCAGAGCATCTCCTTTCTTGAAAGCCTTGCTGATAACCCTGCTGATTGCATAGCAGGCTCAGAAGTCTCTGCTTTCCTGAAGCCTTGGGCTTTGTCGTATCAAAATGCGTTTGTAACCAGCAAGTAGCTGATCTACCATTTCCCCAGAGGAACGCATGTGAATGTGCTGGTGCAGCTGCTTTCCTGGGTTAATGTTTTGTTTTGTGAAAGGACATCCAGGCTGATGGGGCAAAAGTCAGAGCGTCTGGAAAACAGCTCACTTCTGGGCAGCGCAGTGTGAACTGGCATCAGATCGGGATCAAACATTCCTCAGCAGCCTTAGAAGAAAGGGAGTACTGGGGTGACTTGGCTGTTGTACCTCCAAAGAGGACAATTTGGTTTAAAGTTTCTTTCTATGCCCTTACCCCCTGTGAGCTGGAGCTGAAAACATGCACTCCTTTGCACCTGGGGCTTCCAGGCTGTCTTCTGCAGACGGGGGACGTGGTCTCGTCTGCTGCCTCTTCCCCTTGCTTGCTGAAGGCATGCCAACTTGGTGGGGACAAGGCAGCGACACCCCCAGCCAGGGCTTTGTGTCCTCCAGCCCATGGGGCATGCTCGGGCACCTGCTCAAGACCCCCTCCAGCCAGGTAACAGTCATTGTGCAGGGACCTGTGGTCAGCCCTAACAAAAACAAGACATGCTGGCTCTTGGCTGTCACTATCTTGGCCATCTTGTTGGTTTTTCCTGATCTTGCAGACCTCAGTGCTGCAGTCAGTGCGTGGTCTGATGACAAGGAAGCTTGCAGCCATGCTTACATGGCAGCAATATCTGACCATGCTGCTGGAGGACTGGGGGACTTTAGAAAATAACCCTCAGCTTTAAAAAATAGTGATATCTGTATGCTTACTGGCCTTTAATAGCTTTTTCTTTGAAGAACTTAAATAGAAACTCATATATAAAACCACAGTGTCCCACAGCAGCGGGAGCTTCAGTCGAACTGCATTTGGTGCAGGAGGACCTGCTCTGCAGCCTGGTTATCACATTTGGCACCCTCAGTTCCTGCGTTTGGTGAAAATGTTGGCTTTTGACAAGTGCCCCGAGTTTGTGATCTCTGCGTAGGACATGAAAGGGGTCATCTCAAAAGCGTTATCTGGCCCCTGCACCTAGATCTGTCCTCTTTGATTAGACAGTAACTATTCCTTAGGTAGATGCAAAGCTCCAGAGACTGGCCGCCTCGCCTCTTGTCACACATCCGTCCTGCAAGGGGCTGAGACATCTGCTTAGCATCAGGTCCACAGCCAGGGTCAAACAGGCTGTCTGGGCAGCTAAATTTACAGTTTGCTGGTTTGCTTCACTCACCAGCAGTTTTGGCTCCAAGCAGAGCCCTGGTCTCTGGCAGGGGCAAGAAACGGAGAGGTCCCTGTTCTCTGGATCAGCACTGACGTGTGGATGTATCTGGCAATACATGTGGTACTATTTAACTCAATCCCAGCCCCTAAGCAGGAGCTCCCAGTGTGTATTTATGTTGTCCTAGAAGCCAGCCCCGAGTTAGCTGAGGGAAGGGCGGCAGCTTGTTGAGGCGATGTTGCACACGAGGAGATCCATGGGAGGGGGAATAAGTCCAGCTGCAGGGCAAAAATCAAATGCATAGACCCTCTTAGACATGGAGTAACACAGACTGGGACAGACCCCATCAGAGCAAACTGCCTCGTTTGTTTTGCTACTTGTTGGAAAACTTGTTCCCTGCTGCTGGCCCTGGCTGACCAAGAGCAGGCTGGTGCTTGTGTTTTCTCCCACTTCCCTTTTTCAACAAGGGGGTGTTGTTTTTTAGTCCTTCATAGGGAGAAAAAGATTACTTGGGCTTTTTTTTTGTTTTCTTCTAGGAGCAAGAGCAGGAAAAATGATTGAAAAAAACTTTGTTTCAGTGCATCATTCCTTGAGTACCTTTTGTCCCTGGGTTCAGCCCAGCCTGGGGCAGGAGGGAAAGGCACCGTGTTTCCCATGACTGTCCCACCAACGGCATGCTCCTTGCAGGTTCTCTGGAGCCCCCAGGTCCTCCCAAATGGCGTCTGTTTCTTCCGGCTCAGCCCCGACGGTGAGGAAGGCTACCCTGGTGACCTGAAAGTCTGGGTGACCTACACGCTCAGCGGTGGGGAGCTGGCCATCAACTATCGAGCCCAGACCAGCAAGACGACACCCATCAACCTGACAAACCATGCGTACTTCAACCTCGCAGGGCAGGTAAGCATGGGGAGATGAACCCTGCGGAGGGACACTGTGCAGGGGAAGAAAGCCTGGGCACCCATAGAATGATCCATGGGCTTCCCATGGGATCACTGGGACCAACATGCTGGTCTGGGGGCACAGCAATGGGAGTTGTCTCTATGCATCATGGGCTGCATGCAGCCTACGAACTGGGAGAGGACTGAATCACATAGATCTCAACTGAAGACGCATTATCCCAGTGCGTCGTGAACAGAGACATCCCATCATGAATATTAGCTCTCCTTTTGTGTGTAACTGGAGAGTTTCAGTCTCTCCTGGTCCCTCAGGAAGATTACAGAGGAGGTGCAGAACTGGCATGCCCTAGTGATGGACTGTCATTTCTTAGCTGTCTTCTGTTGGTGCTTCTGAGACAACGTACTGAACCCTTGTGTGGATGGTGCAGCTGAGATCAGGGCCTGTGGTGCCAGCCAGAGTCAGTGCAGCACCGAAATACCCAGGTCAAAATGGGGAGGAGAAACATCTTAGAAAGGGGATGTGAGGTGGCCATGGTTGCAGAATGCAGCAGTAGCAGAATGCAGAGGGCTCCCATACACCAGTCCAGGATCCTGCCAACTAGATGGGCACTGTATTGCAGCTGCATTTTAGTCTCACCCTGTTTATAACTGGGCTTGGAGGAAAAGGATCTGGGAAATAAAATGTTGCTGGGCAGAGCAATAGGATGGGACAGTGCAGTCACACTTGGAGGTGAGACAAAGACCCTTAAAAGTGTTAGTGAGAGACATCCCAGCCCCTCTATGCAGGCTACTGCCCTAATAATGGCTGTGGAGTTGTTAGTTTACCCTCCGTTTGTCCTCCCAGCAGTACAGTAATATCAACACCTACAGCATGCAACTCAGGCATGTTTCGAGAGGAACGGGAAACCTTTGGGCATTAAATTGCTGCTCAGATTAGACAGTGACATGCAGGCTCAGCTTTGATCCTGCTTCCCTTCCAGCCCAGCAGGTTCCCTGCCAGCATCCCCGAGGCTGTGGGAGAGGAAGAGGAGCGCAACCCCCCCGCGCTGCAGGAGATGAGCCAGGAGGATGGGTTGCACTTCCCCACACTTGCTTCCTTCCCCTTTTGCCCGCCGCTGTGTGCTCAGCAACCAGCATGTTTTGGCTAGTTGATCTGCAGGGTGGTAGTGCTTGATGAGGTACAAGTTCAGACTGATAATCTCAGCCCTGCAGGATTTACAGCTCCTAGGTCCCATGCAGGTTTTCGCCTGTGCTGGTACCAGGGTCAAAGTGGGATGATGGCCAGGAGGTCCCCCAGGCACTACCAGATCAGCTGTAGCACCACCATGAGCAGTCACTTCCCAGGTGTGCTTAGGGCTGCCCAAATGGTGGAAGGGCCGCAGCAGGAATCCCAGTATTTCCCATCCTCCTGCAGGGCTCACAGGATATCTACAACCATGAAATTTCTATTGAAGCAGATTCCTACCTGCCTGTGGACGAGACCAAGATCCCTACTGGTGGGTAGTGCAACACCTGCGGCACATGGTGAAGACGGCTTTACAGATGAGTGTTTGTGGGTATCGGGGAGCAGCAATGCTTGGCAAGGGGAAACACACCAGGACCCAGGGGACCCCAGGCACAGCAGAACCCTCATCCATGGGCACAGTCCCACAGCACCTGAGCAGAGTGGGCAGAGCCAGGTGCTGGTAACAGGGTCCATCACCAGCCCCAGACCCAGAGAGGGGGTGGACCAGGGTCCACCTGGATCCAGGGGGTGTAGGCAGGAGCAGCAGGAAATGGGGCCAGAGGCAAGTGGGATGCAAGGCTGCAACGTGGGTCCAAGGGGCCCATCAGAAGACAAGCTACCTATGACATAGCACCAAAGCATGTCCCTCCAGACCTGTTTGGCCAGCATTTCCCTGCAGGCCAATCCATTGTTCCCAGGGCCAGTGGGGCCACCAGAGAGGGTCACTCAGCACTTTGAGGGCTGGGATTGGCCTGGGGTTTGCCTGCTTTGCTTCCTCCAGCAGTGTTCGGCTTTATCATACTTCTCTACTGGGATTTTCCACGTGATTTCAAGGTCTTATTTCCACAGATCTTATTTCCATAAGATCAGCCCATGCTCAAAGTCCACAGAAAGCAGGAGAATTTGTTTCTTAAGCCTCAGTAAAATGTGGGAGATGCAAGCAGCATGCTCCAGGCACAGGGTGGCTGTCGATAAACATGATGGCACACCAGGACATGGTCAGACTCCCTGATCTGGGGGGCAGCTCCCAGGCCCAGTGCTGAGCTCTAGACCTGCTGGGATCTCTGGTGCTCGGGAGCCCAGCATCATCCTTCCCCGCAAGAGCTGAGCCATCAGTTCCCTCATCCGGATGGGAGACCTGGCGCTACTGGCTGGGAGGCTGAAGACGCAAAACCAACACTTTTCTTTCCTGTCTTTAATGTCCTGCATGGCTAAAAGAGGAAAGCCAGTTACGGAAAACAGCGTGTTTTGCATGCTAAGCAGGTTAATTAAACAAAGGTGGTATTGCTGCTGTCTCCAGCCTCAGTGTGGAGAAGTGAGCTGGCAGCCTCTTGCACCCGGTCTTGATTCAGGGGGTAAAAAGGAGAAAAGAGGGCTTTCTAGTTTTCTCCCCCCCCCCCCCCCCCCCCCCCCCCCCCCCCCCCCGTTCCTCCCCATAAATGATTGAGCTGCTAAATTAAATAATCTGAACAAGCTGGGACAGGGAACACATTCCCTGTACCCGCAGGAAAGGCAGCACCAAACACGTGCACTCGGCAATGGTCCCACTGCTAACAAGGGGGCACCTTGCTTTGGGTGGCTTGACTCCAACCCTCCCACCCACTTTTCATTTAGCGTAAGTGACTGTGCTGAGTTGCAGTTAAGTGTTGATCTAATTGCAAAATGAATCTGATACCAAGTTTTATTGTTTTTAAGAATGAAAAGCATTATTTAAGAAAAAAAAGCTGCATTTGGCTTAATTTTTGAAAAATGTAAAATAGATTAAAATAATCAAAAAAGCGGACTTCTAGATTTGCTCCTAAATTATGGCTTTTCATCCAGCCTGACTGGCTTAGAGGAATGGAGGCCATCGGAATGCAGATGCTGAGCCATGGCAGGCGAGGATGCCATGCCATGCAGGAGGTCTTTGGGGGACAGAGTAGTGACAGGAGCACCAAGCAGCTGGTCTGGGGCATGAATGCCGGGAAGGCTGTGCTCTTGAGTGCAGCTAGCATCAACGGAAGAGAAACTGGGTGTGGGGCGGGTTGTGTGCCCGAGGGCTGCATGAGCCTGCGGGGATGTTTCTGGTAAGTGTAGGCTCTGCTGGAAATGGCAGGGCTTGTTTCCCTGGTGCTGTTGCGGGGCTGCTTTGCTGAGTGCACCTTCTGACTTCAGGAGGGAGAGGAAGAGAGGCTTTAAAAAGCAAAAAAAAAGAAAGCAAGAAAGCTTTTTAGCTCAGGTGTTTGCTAAAACCAGAGTTACGTCTGTGTTCATGAACCAAAACCACTGTGTATGCATGCATTGGCTTGCACCTGGAGGAGTGGGTCTCCCAGTCCAGGTGGCTTTTACTCAGCTTGGTGTGTCATGCCTGGGCTCAAGCTGGGAAAGAGCTTAAGGCCGTACCAAACCTACTGCCCTGCTTCTCCCCACTGCTTTCACCATGGAGCTGTTTCACTTTTTAATGGTGGCAGGCTTGCTGCCCCTGCTTTTTGCAGTTCCCTCTTGGTGTTTTGGGTAAATGTAGCCTTTGAAGCTGACAAAACTGTGTATAGTCTTAGCCCTGGGGTGAAGATGAGATTTGTGCAACTATTAAAGACAGAGCCCTTGTATGCAATGGCTGCTGTATTTTACCTAAGTGTGTAAATCAAAATGTTTCTTTTTTTTTCAAGGTGTTTTTCCGCCCCACAGCTGAATTCAGTAAATGCGCTCCTTTTAGATAGGATCAGAAGCCACAGAAATGTGCTGTTTGTCAGGTGGAGACTGATATTTCTCAAGGTTTGCAGAGCAGAACCAGTGCAGAGCTGCAGCCGAGCTGGGCGTGTGACTGCAGCAAGCAGAGCACAGCACATGGTGCAAGCAGCGGAGCTGGGATGCCTGCCTGCCACCATTCCCAACATTGGCAGCTGCCTGCTGACCCTTGGAAACCTCTCCCTTTAGAGAGGGGTAGAAAAATGTGACTTTAGGGGAAAAAAAACCCTCGCCTGCCCTTCCTTTCTCACCTCCCCCATGCAAAACCCCTTGCCTTTGGGTTGGGATGGCTGTGTTTTGCGCTGTGTTTTGCACTGTGTTTAGTATGTCTTAGGGTTGTTCTCACTGCAAGAGCTTTATCACAGGATGCTGCATCCCCACATCAGGCCTTAAAAAAAGACTTGAGAGAAAATGCTGGTTTTATGGTCTTAAACCTTTTCTTCCTGAAACAATGCCCTAAGGCAGGAGGGTGACTGGTCCCAGTATACAGCCCATATTCACCATCCTGGCAGGTGGGCCACCTTCATGGTCATCTCACAGATGTTTGTTCAGAGATCTGGGAGGATTCATTTATTCAGAGAGTGATAGTATATGTATATAAATCTTATGCGTATATAAATATTAATAGCTAATAAGTTTTGTGTTTATATTAATTAGCTTGTATAGTTACATATACAAGCCCCCCCCTCTTGTTTTCTGGCTCTTTGGCTTTGCTTTGTCTCAGCTAAGCACAGCAGTGTCCCTGGGGGCTGCTGGCTCTGCTGGGGGTCAAGGTGGTGATGTCTCAGCCCAAGTCACAGTGGCCACAAGGCAAGCTTGCTCAAAGCAAGGCACCACAATGAGACAAGGATCACAAATGGCTTAAAACCCTCAGCTCACCAAAGCAAGGGATCTCAACCCTGCACAGGGGCCAGTGCCACAGGTGCTTGCTGGCGTGTGAGTGAGCGGCTGACACTGCTGTTCTCCTTGCCCAGGGGAGGTGGCCGCCGTGCAGGGCACCAGCTTCGATCTCCGGCAGCCCGTGGAGCTGGGGAAGCACTTGCAGAAGTTTCACCTGGATGGTTTCGACCACAACTTCTGCCTGCAGCAGGCGCAGGCTCGACGCCTCGTGGCCAGGTAGGCTGGGACCCCGGCAGGGGTCCCCCACCCCTGGAGTCACGGGGTGCCCATTTGGCCAGCCCCTTGACATCCTCCACCGGCATCTCCCCAGGGCTCGCCACCCACCCAGTGGCAGGGCCATGGAAGTTCACACCACCCAGCCTGGCATCCAGTTTTACACTGGAAACAACCTGGATGGCTCCTTGAGGGGCAAAGGCGCTGTTGCATACCCTAAGCACTCGGCTTTCTGCCTGGAAACCCAGAACTGGCCTGATGCTGTCAACAAGGTGAGCCATCCCCCACACCCCTGGGAGCTGCTTGGGTCCTGTGGCAGGGGACCATACCACCACCACCCATGTCTCTGGGGCGTTAAATATATGAACAGAGTCCATTTGGCGAGGGGATGCTTTGTGGACACCAGAACTGAGGCAGGCACAGGTCACAGCATCCTGTGGCATTAGGCAGGGGTCAACCAGCGCAGCAGGGACCGGCCCCACGCAGCCCAGCTTCCCAAGGGCATGGGGTCTAGAGCAGAAGACCCCACCGGGGTCTTGCCACGTCCTCCCCATGGGGCCTGAATTCAACTGGGGGAGGACTCAGCCAGCCAGCAAGTAACAGGCCGCTGGAAATGCCCAGGGAGGAGCCATGGGACACCACCCCAGGAAGGCCGAGGGGATGCAGCCGTGCCCTCAAGACCCTTTCTAGTCCCACGGTGTGCACTCACAATCAGTGACGTGCTGCTGCCTCTCCCCAGCCCCACTTCCCCAGCGCCCTACTCCGGCCAGGAGAGGAATACAACCACACCACATGGCTTGTGTTCAACGCCGCTTAAGGAAAGGGGATGCTGACTCCTACCACCGAGAGGGGTAAGTGCCTCTAGCAGGTTAGCCAGAAATCCCGCCAGGTGCTGAACAGCGCTTTCAAACTACCTTGGGTGATGCATCCCATTTGGGAATTTTTTTCCTCCTCTGTGGTTTTCACCCATGGTTTCTGCTGGCTTTAACTCCTGTCACCACCTCTGCCGCTATCTGGTCTGTGCAAAGCTCTCACCCTCTGTCCAGCCTCACCCTGGGCATTAGGTTTTGTTTCGCAGTAAAAATGCACTGAAAACACTTTGTTTAGGGAGATGGCATGTCGCAGCTCAAACTACAGCAGGAGAATACCTGGTAATATTCATGTGGAGCATGTGGGAAGGCTGATAAAGTTGTGGTTGTTCATTACAACATCAGCTATTCCCAGCAAAGTGCTCTGGGCTGGGCTGGCTGCTGTTCTCTCCCTGGCACTGACCTGCCCCACAGCTCATCAAAGGGTGCCCTGCCCTTCCCGTGCCGGGCAACAGGGCAGCCCTCGCGGCTGGAGCCACCAAGATAGCAGCATTGCGATGGCACGAGTATGCAGTGGTCACGCAGAATAGCTTTGCGGAGAACGGTGTGCTGGGATTATCCCAGCTGGCCGCCCTGGCTCCTCTGGCTTAACTCCTAATTTGAAGCCAGCAGCGACAGCTGCACAAGAGCATCTTCCGTGCTATGCCTTGACTGCTGAAGTGAAGTGGTTGCATCCATCTATAGTCCTGAATATACAACTGCAGGAGGAAAACCATCATCTTAATGGTGTGTTTCCACATGAAATACATATCATCCCCCAAAACCCTGTAACAGGGGTCTGTCTGATGAAAACCTCCGCGTTTCTGAGGTTTCATAAAAAATTGGCAAAAGCCAGGGGGATGGCAGTGCCATCATACTAGGGAGCTGGTACCCCTCTCCCCTGTGACACAGGGGTAGCCAGCCCTTGGGCCAGGCACCCCATGCAAGGCACCGCAGCCTGCCTCCCATCTTCTCCTGCCATGCTGCTGCCGAAGGGGCCGCACAAGCCCTGGCTCCCACCGGCAGATTGTGGCCAGGGCCTGCAGCACTCCAGCATGTTTGCTCAGCTGCAGAGCTGCGGGAATGATCTTGCCCCCGGTGGAAGTGCCTGGCCATTGGGCACGCAAATGTGGCAGACTGTCACGGTCAGTTCTGCCACCCTGACCCCCAAAACAAGCACCCCGCTACTCTCCTGCGATGCCCTGAGTGCATGGATGCACATAGTGGTCACAGGTTACGTGGCTGCAGTTCATACTGTGTAAGGGCTGGTATCATTTGGAGAATAAAGCCCAGCTGATCCAAGCTCAGGAAATGCTAGGTTGCAAACCAGGGGCGGAAGCACCATCACCCCTATGAGAGTGGGGTTTGCCCACCGCAGTAGGGACCTCGGGTACACATCCCCTTGCCCCCCACCCCCAGCCAGGCCGCGCAGGGTGCGCACAGCTATGGCAGTGCGCTCCCCCCCTCCCCGCGTGCGCACTGACCCC